TCGGGGCATTCCCATATACGCTCCGTCTCTATCTTCAGCAGCAAGCACAGAGTACCATTACTAATGGTACCGGTCGTAGTCTGGTTATATGCCCGTCTTGCCTTTCCTCTGAGTGTAGTAAGCCGGCCAGACCCTCTGGTCGCATCCAGGTGCATCATTTTCTCCAGACCATAATCTAGTTTCTCTTGTGACTTCATTGCTCGGTCCCAAAGGGCCCTGACCACATTTACCTTTCCATGTACTAGTTCACCACCCAGGGTCCAGATCCAGCCAATCTGTCTGCCTGTTCATTTCCCACCACGCCGGCATACCTAGAAAAATAATCTAAAGTATGCTCACTACCCGTGACCTTCTAAGTGAAGCGTGCTGCTCTGCTCGAAGCAATCCTGTCTTCAACTTTCTCAGCGTGCTTTCATAGTCTGTTACATTACAACATGTGTATGCATCTTTTTCTCTAGCCACCTTAACACTGCAGTGACTGCCTCCACCTCTATTCTCATGCTAGATGTTGTGGTGTCATATGATAGGTTGCCATGCGCTAAAGATTTCCCGTTAGCTTTCGCTACGAACCTCCAGGCACGTCTTTTCCCCCTCAACACAGAACCATAATCAGATCGTCTGTGCGAACAATAGTGAATCAACTGCTGGACTTCCACCTCCGCAGCCCCCGCTGGCCACTCTCTGCACTCCCGGCCTAACGTGACTGTGACTCTAAACCGGTAAAACTTTTCCTCTGGTTGAGAAGAGTATCACCAACAGGCAATGAATTTAGAAACTGGGAGACCGAGGCAACGAGGACGCACAAGAGAAACACTTAAGGGAACGAGGCAACGAGGACGCACAAGAGAAACACTTAAGGGAACGAGGCAACGAGGACGCACAAGAGAAACACTTAAGGGAACGAGGCAACGAGGACGCACAAGAGAAACCCTTAAGGGAACGAGGCAACGAGGACGCACAAGAGAAACCCTTAAGGGAACGAGGCAACGAGGACGCACAAGAGAAACACTTAAGGGAACGAGGCAACGAGGACGCACAAGAGAAACCCTTAAGGGAACGAGGCAACGAGGACGCACAAGCGAAAAACTTAATGGACCGAGGCAGCGAGGGCGCACAAGAGAAACCCTTAAGGGAACGAGGTAACGAGGACGCACAAGAGAAACCCTTAAGGGGACGGTGATGAGAGCGAATAAATGAATCAAGAGGTGACGTAACTGCACTTGCGACATCCGTGCCCTTCTTGGGTAACCAACGAAAAGCTTACATGACAATAGTACCATCTATAGCCTTATTAAAGGTCCGCCTCTGTTTCGTCTACAGTGTTGTATCATCTTCCACAACCTCAACCCATAAGGTCTCATGCAGAAGGTGTTCTCTGTTGCTAGAAGAATTTGTCATGACTAACTATTGTCGGAGACCGAAACATGTCATGACTAGAAACAGTAATTCCGCCTATCTGCCATATTGACTGGAAGTAGCCTGGTACCGGGTGAAGAGCTAGGCCAGCGGCTCTCAGCCTATGGGTCACGACCCTTTTGTGAGTCAAACTAGCCTTTCACAGGGGTCGCCAAAGACCAGAGAACACATATTTACTGAAGTTGTCAAGTAACAACAAAAAAAGTGTATGGTTGAGGGTCATCGCAAGATGAGGAACTGTATTTAAGGGTCGCAGCGTTAAGAAGGTTGAGAATCACTGAGCTAGGCGGCGTGGCATGAAGGGAAGCGGCAGACAAGCTGCAGTGGGGGGGGGGGGGGATGGGCCGTTGACAGGGATATACTGAATGTGTTGGTTAGTATCTAGGTAGGTTAGTATATTGAAACGTGGGTAGGTAATTAGATAAGTAGAAATGGTGGAATTGGTGGCAATAGGAAAAAAGGGGGCAGGGGGTAGGAATGAAGAGATAAGGAAAGCTGGGTTGCTAGATTCACACCTTGTGGGATTGGGAGAGGTAGAGAGGAACGGAGATAAGTAGGTACTACTGCTACTGCTGCTGCTGCTGTTGATGCTTCTACTACTACTACTGCTTCTACTACTACTACTACTACTACTACTACTACTACTACTACTACTACTACTACTACTACTACTACTACTACTTCTACTACCACCACAACCGCTACTACTACTACTACTACTACTACTACTACTACTACTATTACTACTACTACTACTACTACTACTACTACTACTACTACTACTACTACTACTACTACTACTACTACTACTACTACTACTACTACTACTACTACTACACGGTTGCAGCTGCTGAAGTACCACTTCTATTTCTACTACTAATGCTGCTACTACAAGAATTAAAATCATCCAGGTCGTCCCCTTGTGGGATGCAATTTTTCGTTACTTTAAGCCCCAACCTGGCTTTTGCCAGAGGGCCCTGAGTATAGCTTGGCCATAAATATGGTCATAACGGCTGAAAGGGGTTTCTGGGACCTCTCCACGGGTGATCCTTATCCCCTTTGTCTCACCGGGTGTTTGTCGCTTGTGTGATGTCCTGGTGGGGTACAACAAGCAAGCAAGCAAGTACTACAAGACACGCTTCTGCTAAAGCAGTGATTAGGGGTGTGAAAGTGGATAGGTATGAAAGTTGAATAATTGTTCGCTGATAACTTTGTGGGTAGGTGAATTAAAGAGTTGGTACGTATATAGGCACGGTGGACCTGATGAAGGTAAAATGGCAGTAATTAAGGAATGGAGGGGGACAGTGGTAGAATAGGAAGGAGGCTAGGTGTATTCTAAGTTGACAGGAGTACTGCTAAGACTGGTCGCTGGAAGGATGCTGGCTGGGTAGGGCATCATTGTTATTATCTAGCTTGGCAGATGGTGGAAGTGTTATTCTGATTCCTTGAGTCCTTGAGATTGATAGGTAAGCAGTTTATATAGACCGAAAGATGTGCCCATTGGGTTTTGTTCTTGCTAACAAGCATGTCCTAGGAGGCGTCAAATTAGGGGTGTTTCCTTCAAAGTCGTAGTGCATCTGCCCGAGGGGCAACAAACCAGCAGTGTGCATACATATAAGCTAGTTCTGTGAAATTTATATGCATGCAAAACTCAAGTTTTATATCAAGGAAAAAAGTGGCGGCTTACAAAGTACCTTCAGAAAATATGTTGACTATAGTGACGCGTCTGTTTGTGTGTATGTGTTTGTGTGTGTGTGTGTGTGAGAGAGAGAGAGAGAGAGAGAGAGAGAGAGAGAGAGAGAGAGAGAATAGGAGGTATAGACATATGACACAGGGAGAGAGGTACATCTTGGGTACATCGGGCAAATAGTTAGGTCAGTTTGTCATCTCTGGGCTGCTACTTAAAGGCTTATCATACCGTCCTAACATTTAAAAATCTCAATCTGGATGTCAGACTGACAAGACAAATCCCAGATACCCCGTTCAACCTACAAAGAAGCTATCATCAGGGAACCTCCAATGGCAACCCAAACCAGGTGTAACCTGCAACCTTATAAGTTGCAACCCTGTCTACTGGCACGACATCGACCTGGCTGCTTTGAGATAACAACTAAGTGATTGTACTTGTGTGGTATTGTTTGATTTATGTATGTGCTGATGAAGGCTCTATAGCTGCAACGTTCACGTTTTGTTTGTGTTATATTGTAAAGCTTGCTGATCTACTTTTCGTTCGGTTTTATATCGTTTCTGCAACCTTAAAAGGATTGGAATACCCGTGTGGGTTCCGGGGCCCGGTTGTAGGGAAAACAAGAATATACCCACTGCCTCCCCCATCAAGCATGTCGTAAGAGACGACTATCTAGGGTTTATTCGAAGTAGGAGTGCCTGACAGGCACGGAACCAACAGTCTGGATACAAAGCCAGATCTCTAAAACGGATGTGCACGCAACAGTTCTGTTCTGGTACTACTCCAAAGTCCAGAGGTGGATGAACAACCAGACCTTTTCACCAGAGTTTACAGCCGATGAGCGCTAAGAAGAAGAAGAAGAAGAAGAAGAAGAAGAAGAAGAAGAAGAAGAAGAAGAAGAAGAAGAAGAAGAAGAAGAAGAAGAAGAAGAAGAAGAAGAAGAAGAAGAAGAAGAAGAAGAAGAAGAAGAAGAAGAAGAAGAAGAAGAAGAAGAAGAAGAAGAAGAAGAAGAAGAAGAAGAAGAAGAAGAAGAAGAAGAAGAAGAAGAAGAAGAAGAAGAAGATAAGGATAGGGATATATAAGGGTATATGCTATTACACTTATACAATCGAGTGCCATATCCGGCCGCGTGTTACCTAAGTCAGCTCTGTGGCTAAGTCGATGCGAACGATCCCAGTTGTGGGCCATGCGCCTTGCCTTGGTTTGGACAGTGGTATTAGGAGCTGACCGCCCAGAAAGCAATGGCAAACTACTGGACGTAAATTTGCCTAGAGAAACCACGCAACAGTCAGGGGCTGCTGGCTTGGTTTTGCAAAGTCCTGTAAAGGATACGCAACTAACCAACTAAACGTGTTTCCTAAAGATAGACCGGATACCTAAAATCCAGATAAGCAGGTGTACTGACAGTTGGAAAGATGTATTACGGGGAAAGAGAAGTTCACAAATAATTACATTTTTAACATTTTAAGATAGAACTGGTGTCTAACTTAACTACAGAAAGAAAAATATCACGTGACGAACGCTCGCATTTATTTGACAAAGTAAAGTATTCTTTATTTCATTACTGAGATTTAGAAAATAAAAAAGTGGTATAATACGGAGTCCGGATAATCGAACTTCTACTATATTTTTACAAACCAGTCGGCACTCAATGTGCTCTAGTCCCCGCCTTTATTTTCAGGGACATTACCTGGGATTCCATATTTATTTTCAACAAAGTCGCCTTGTTATGGATTTGAACCCTAAACCTCCGGACCTGCAGACAAGCACCTAGTCGCTACGTTACCGCGACTCCCAAATAGTAAGCTAGGCCGGCGTATCGTTATCCTTTGTTCTATAAACATTTGAAGTTGGCACTGTATACCTAATTTTCCAGAAAGCATTACTTCTAGTAGGTTTAACCTTGCTGATGTTGCTGCTGCTGATATGGCTGTTGCTGATATGGCTGCTGTTGATCTGGATGTTGCTGTTGTGGCAGCTGATGTTGATTGTGATGTGGCAGATACTTGTGTTGTTCCGAAGTTCGTATTTGCTGGTCACCGCGCGGTTGCACAACAACAACAGTGGCCAGCGGTTGCTGCTCTTGACTCCCGGGGAATTCCAGACAGTAGGCCACGCAGATGGCGGCCGCGGAAAGGATGCACGTCATGACGAGGAGGAAGTAGGACATAGTGGTCAGCACGAAGGCGTACATGTACAGCAGAGAGCTGCAGTAGTTGTCGGCACTTTTGTCCTTCCACTGGAAGTCGTTGAACAGTGAGTACACAAAGACGGAGCCTGAAGGACGGAATATGTGTCTATTATGTATCTATTTTGGCAGTATTGTAGATGTAGATGGGTGGGGTGTGGGGGGGGGGGGCTGATATAGATATTACAATACGAATACGAATGGCAAGAGGAGCTCTCATAGCACTAGCGAATTTGTGGAGGTCAAACGAAATTTTTAAAAGTACTAAACTTAACTAACTAAACTTTCAATTCTAATGTCAAATCATTACTGTTGTATTGAGCTTAAACATGGAGAACAGCTATGGTAATTACTAATAAACTACAAACATTTATTAACATGCCTGTGCAAAATAGAGTAAATCAAATAGTATGATAGAAACGCTTTGGGAGATAACTAAACAAGTTCCAGTGGACCAAGAGGTGAAGAGAAGACGATGGCGTTGGATAAGACAAACGTTGAGAAAACTCGAGAACAATATAACTAGCATGTCTTTGATTGGAACCCACCGGGGCAAAAAAATTAGGGAAGACCCACACACACACACACACACACACACACAAACGTGTAGAAGGGAGCTAGAGAGTAAAGTTAAAAAGATGGAGAGGACATAGGGAGAGCTTCATGCGATAGCCAAGGATAAAACGACTTGGCGTCAGCTGATTTAGATCCTGTGCTCCATTGGGGGATAGAAGGCAGAAGAAGAGGAAGTAGTAATTGTAGTGGTGGCGGTTGTGGCGGCGGCGGTGGTATTAGAAGTAGTGGTGGCATTAGTGGTAGTAGTGGTGGTGGTAGTAGTAATGTTAGTGGTGTAGTGATGGTGGTGGTGGTAGTCGCAGTAGTTGTGTGTTAGTAGTAGTGTTGTAGTAGTGTTGTAGTAGTGTTGTAGTAGTGTTGTAGTAGTGTTGTAGTAGTGTTGTAGTAGTGTTGTAGTAGTGTTGTAGTAGTGTTGTAGTAGTGGTAGTAGTAGTAGTGGTGGTGCTGGTGGTAGTAGTAGTAGTGGTGGTGCTGGTGGTGGTAGTGGTGGTGGGGATTAGTAGTAGTAGTTGTGTGGTAGTAGTAGTGTAGTAGTAGTAGTGTTAGTAGTGGTGGTGCTGGTGGTGGTAGTGGTAGTCGTAGTAGTTATGTGGTAGTAGTAGTGTTGTAGTAGTGTTAGTAGTGGTGGTGCTGGGGGTGGTAGTGGTAGTCGTAGTAGTTGTGTGGTAGTCGTAGTAGTTGTGTGGTAGTAGTAGTGTTGTAGTAGTGGTAGTGCTGGTGGTGGTAGTATTAGTGGTGGTGCTGATGGTGGTAGTAGTAGTGGTAGTAGTAGTAGTTGTGTGGTGGTAGTGGTGGTGGTGGTGGTGGTGGTAGTAGTAGTAGTTGTGGTGCTGGTGGTGGTAGTAGTAGTCGTAGTAGTTATGTGGTAGTAGTAGTGTTGTAGTAGTAGTGTTAGTAGTGGTGGTGCTGGTGGTGGTAGTGGTAGTCGTAGTAGTTATGTGGTAGTAGTAGTGTTGTAGTAGTGTTAGTAGTGGTGGTGCTGGGGGTGGTAGTGGTAGTCGTAGTAGTTGTGTGGTAGTCGTAGTAGTTGTGTGGTAGTAGTAGTGTTGTAGTAGTGGTAGTGCTGGTGGTGGTAGTATTAGTGGTGGTGCTGGTGGTGGTAGTAGTAGTGGTAGTAGTAGTAGTTGTGTGGTGGTAGTGGTAGTGGTGGTGGTGGTGGTGGTGGTGGTAGTAGTAGTAGTTGTGGTGCTGGTGGTGGTAGTAGTAGTAGTTGTGTGGTGGTAGTAGTAGTGGTGGTGGTGGTGGTAGTAGTAGTTGTGTGGTAGTAGTAGTGTTGTAGTAGTGGTCGTAGTAATAGTGGTGGTGTTGGTGGTCGTCGTAGTATTAATGTAGTAATAGTAGTAGTTGTGGTGGGGGCGGTTGTAGTAGTCCTAGTAGTAGTGATGACAGTAGTAGTAGTAGTAGTAGTAGTAGTAGTAGTGGTAGTAGTAGTAGTAGTAGTAGTAGTAGTAGTAGTAGTAGTAGTAGTAGTAGTAGTAGTAGTAGTAGTAGTAGTAGTAGCAGCAGCAGCAACAACAGCAGCAGCAGCAGGAGCACCGCCAGCACCCTGACAAGCTAACACTCACCATAAACAAACCAAGCGAACTCCGCCATTGTGTAGAGGAAGGCGGCGATTGTGATGGGTACATCGTATTCAAAATAAGCCCTATCGGTGAGAACCGATCTCATGCCTATATTGATTAAGTCTCGAGCACAGGCCACTGTGCCACCCACGACCAGGTAGACGGGGATGAACGGCTCGGCTGGGCACTCATGAAAAAAGATAGATCCAATGATTACCTGTATAGGTGAGATAGGACACAACAGTTAATACCATCATCATCGTCGTTGTCATAAACCGCTTTTACATTTGAGCGGCGTGGGGAGGAATAAGTTGCGATCCAGTGCACACTGGCTATTGTCATTTTGCGAAGGCGTAATGTGCCTTTAATATTGCCGATTCATATTTCGTGGCCGTTATCTTGCCCTTGTAGTTGATCTTCTGAAACATAGTGCCTGTGCTGGTATTTGATGTTACTAGATTCTAGCGAGATGGCCAAACCACTTGATCTGCTGGTTCACAGGGAATCTAGTACAATGTGTCGTTCCCATAGTCTGTCTGTTAGTATCATTTTTCACTAGTTCTTGGCAGCTTGGCAGTTTTAGTTTTTTTTTTAATTACTATAGTTTCTATCAGTCTCCAGGTAATGCCGATGTGTTGGGAAATGAGCAGACAGATAGACTTCTGCACCACTTGGTGGTGAACTGATGTATGACAAGCTGCATATTGTGAGGGTCCTTTGGGAGGGAGTGAACAGTGCCGAGGCACAGATAGATCCTTACGGTCTGAGGAGAATAGCCCTGCGAGGAGTTACAAAGGGATCATGCCGACGCTCGACACAGAGGGGAAAGGCGAGACGGATATACATTCAGACAGTTAATGGTACCATAGGAATTTTACCTCTTCGCTTCCTGCTGAAGATAGGGACAGAGCGCTTATGGGGGTGTCCCGAGTCCTGTGAGGTTTATTTTTAATTCAAACTTCAACATTTAATTGTCGGTATCAAAAAGAGACAAGGCCACAAACACCAGCATTGAAGAGAATGCTGTAACAAGACCGTGCCTGACACACATTGAAATACAGATCATGAAGTTTTTTTGGCCTTCTATTGAAAATGCAGCCAAGCCACACTGTATAAGTAACCTTCTACAGCGGAACTTCTGGGCGGAAGGCAAGAGAAAGACCAGCGAAGACATGGATAGACGGAGTAGCTGAAATTGCTAAAAAGATGGACAGAACCATCACGCAAGCCATCTAAAAACCGCGAAAGAAATACGGAAACTCTTGGACGAGCCATTGAAGTTCGTTGCCGCAAATATCACCAGCCGCCTCCATTGGTCCCTCTGGTTGGCCTTCTCTTTCCAGTTGGTGACACAAAGTGTTTGCAAGTCTGTCTGGATATTATCTCTCCATCGTCTTCTAGGTCTGTCTCGTGGTTTGCGACCATTCAGCTCCCGTGTGTAAGCAGTTTTCACCTCTCTGTCATCTGACGTTCTCTCAGTGTGCCACAACCATTTCAACCTATTGGCCATCATGATGCAGTGATCAGTGGTGATTTAAACAAATTATAAACTTCGTTGTTGTTTTATAGTTAAAAAGGTTCCGATAATTAAAAATCTATACAGTCATATTAGAATATTCAACAGTTTATGAAGTTCCGACACTTTTCTGTATAGTCGCTTTATTAGAGTGGATAAAGAACACTCATCAATTTCATAGTTCCGATAACTATCTGTATAGTCGCTTTATTAGAGTGGATAGAAAACACTCATCAATTGATAGTTTCGATATTTATCTGTGTAGTCGCTTTATTTGGGTGGATAAAGAACACTAATCAATTGATAAAATTCCGATAATTATCTGTATAGTCGATGTATTAGAATAGATAACGAACACTCATCAATTGATATAGTTCCGATAATTATCTGTATAGTCGCTTTATTAGAGTGGATAGAGAACACTCATCAGTTGATAGTTTGGATAATTATCTGTATAGTCGATGTATTAGAGTGGATAGAGAACACTCATCAGTTGATAGTTTGGATAATTATTTGTATAGTCGATGTATTACAATAAATAAAGAACACTCATCAATTGATATAGTTCCAATATTTATCTGTATAGTCGATGTATTAGAGTGGATAGAGAACACTCATCAGTTGATAGTTTGGATAATTATTTGTATAGTCGATGTATTACAATAAATAAAGAACACTCATCAATTGATATAGTTCCAATATTTATCTGTATAGTCGATGTATTAGAGTGCATAGAGAACACTCATTCGTTGATAGTTTGGATAATTATTTGTATAGTCGATGTATTAGAGTGGATAAAGAACACTCATCAATTGATATAGTTCCAATATTTATCTGTATAGTCGATGTATTAGAGTGGATAGAGAACACTCATCAGTTGATAGTTTGGATAATTATTTTTATAGTCGATGTATTAGAGTGGATAGAGAACACTCATCAGTTGATAGTTTGGATAATTATTTGTATAGTCGATGTATTAGAGTGGATAGAGAACACTCATCAGTTGATAGTTTGGATAATTATTTGTATAGTCGATGTATTAGAGTGGATAAAGAACACTCATCAATTGATATAGTTCCAATATTTATCTGTATAGTCGATGTATTAGAGTGGATAAAGAACACTCATCAATTGATATAGTTCCGATATTTATCTGTATAGTCACTGTATTAGAGTGGATAAAGAACACTCATTAATTGATATAGTGTCGATAAGTATCTGTATAGCAGATTAACTCTTTCAAGCCCAGGCAGGTGGGGGTGGGGGGATGGGCGGGTCGGGGATTATTTTACCTTATCTTATAAACATTTTTGGCTTCATCAACCTGGGAACCAGAGTCAGTTTTGAAATTACATTTCTTAACGACCTAAAATATCATCGATAGAAGAATAGGACCATGACTTAATATCCCGTTAATGTTAAAAACCCTGGCATGACATGGTAAAAACCAAATGTCACTTCAGTGTTAAACACTTTAAAGTGGTCACCACCAAATATCGCCTCAGTGTTAAACATCCTAACATGGTGACGACCAACAATTACTCCACTGTTAAACACCCTAACATGCTGGCGACCAAATATCGCTTCACTGTTAAACACCCCAGCATGGTGACGACTAAAAATGGCTCCAGTGCTAAACACCCTAACATGGTGACGACCAAAATAGCTCAATGTTAAACACTCCAACATGGTGACGACCACAAACAGCCTCAGTGATAAACACCCGAACATGACTATAATGTATGTTTTTCATTATTTAAACAGAAAGCTAATCATCGTCTATCCTTTGGTTCGCATTTACTCTTGTTTCATTACTAAATGCTGTCTAAAATCGGAGCATTGGTCGATAAACACATTCAACACGGTGCAATGCACAAGCCTAACCAGACAACACTAAATCAAAAATGAAAGAGTGTTTTGCTTTTTGTAACAATACATATCTGTTCTAGGGGGTTATAAGTTAGCTTCGTTGCCTGGCTTTACTCCAGAATTCATACACTGTAGCAGAGATTGAATATTTCTTGTGACCCAAGGCCAATATTATATGAATAAGGTTGCAGAAAGTTTCTAGGATTTGAAACTGTTTCTTTTTCCCTTTGCCTCCTCTCTCTCTCTCTCTGTCTCTCTCTCTCTCTCTCTCTCTCTCTCTCTCTCTCTCTCTCTCCCTCTCTCTCTCTCTCTCTCTCTCTATTATTATTATTATTATTATTATTATTATTATTATTACTATTATTATCTTCCTCCTCTACCTCTTTTTCATCCTCCTGCTCCTTCTTCTTCTTTTTCTTGCTTCTTTTTCTTCTCTTCCTCCTTCTTCTTCTCCTTCTTCTCATCCTCGTTCTTCTTCTTTTCCTCCTCCTCCTCCTTCTTCTTCTTCTTCCTCTTCTTCTTCTCCTCCTACTCCTTCTTCTTCTTCTCCTTCTCCTCTTCCTTCTTCTTCTTCTTCTTCTTCTTCTTCTTCTTCTTCTTCTTCTTCTTCTTCTTCTTCTTCTTCTTCTTCTTCTTCTTCTTCTTCTTCTTCTTCTTCTTCTTCTTCTTCTTCTTCTTCTTCTTCTTCTTCTTTCTTCTTCTTCTTTCTTCTTCTTCTTTTTCTTTCTTCTTCTTCTTTCTTCTTCTTCTTCTTCTTCTTCTTCTTCTTCTTCTTCTTCTTCTTCTTCTTCTTCTTCTTCTTCTTCCTCTTCTCCTTTTTCTTCTTTTTCTTCTTCTTCTTCTTCTTCTTCTTCTTCTTCTTTCTTCTCTTCTTCTTCTTCTTCTTCTTCTTCTTCTTCTTCTTCTTCTTCTTCTTCTTCTTCTTCTTCTTCTTCTTCTTCTTCTTCTTCTTCTTCTTCTTCTTCTCTTCTTCTTCTTCTTCTTCTTCTTCTTCTTCTTCTTCTTCTTCTTCTTCTTCTTCTTCTTCTTCTTCTTCTTCTTCTTCTTCTTCTTCTCCTTCTTCTTCTTTTTCTTCTTCTTATTATTATTATTATTACTATTTTTATTTTTATTTTTCTTCTTCTTCTTCTTCTTCTTCTTCTTCTTCTTCTTCTTCTTCTTCTTCTTCTTCTTCTTCTTCTTCTTCTTCTTCTTCTTCTTCTTCTTCTTCTTCTTCTTCTTCTTCTTCTTCTTCTTTCTTCTTCTTCTTCTTCTTCTTCTTCTTCTTCTTCTTCTTCTTCTTCTTCTTCTTCTTCTTCTTCTTCTTCTTCTTCTTCTTCTTCTTCTTCTTCTTCTTCTTCTTCTTCTTCTTCTTCTTCTTCTTCTTCTTCTTCTTCTTCTTCTTCTTCTCTCCTCTTCTTCTTCTTCTTCTTCTTCTTCTTCTTCTTCTTCTTCTTCTTCTTCTTCTTCTTCTTCTTCTTCTTCTTCTTCTTCTTCTTCTTCTTCTTCTTCTTCTTCTTCTTCTTCTTCTTCTTCTTCTTCTTCTTCTTCTTCTTCTTCTTCTTCTCTTCTTCTTCTTCTTCTTCTTCTTCTTCTTCTTCCTCTTCTTCTTCTTTATTTTCTTCTTTGATTATTTTACCTTTTTCTTCTTTCTTCTTCCTTCTTCCTCTTCTTCTTCTTATTTTTCTTTTTCTTCTATCATCTTCCTCACACCTCCTCCTACTTCCTCTTCTTCTGGATAAAGCTATAAACATCCTCACTGCCACTAGAAAACTGTCACTCATCACGGTAACATAATTTGTCTTGGATAAAGCTATAAACATCCTCACTGCCACTAGAAAACTGTCACTCATCACGGTAACATAATTTGTCTTGGATAAAGCTATAAACATCCTCACTGCCACTCACTGCTATAAACATCCTCACTGCCACTAGAAAACTGTCACTCATCACGGTAACATAATTTGTCTTGGATAAAGCTATAAACATCCTCACTGCCACTAGAAAACTGTCACTCATCACGGTAACATAATTTGTCTTGGATAAAGCTATAAACATCCTCACTGCCACTAGAAAACTGTCACTCATCACGGTAACATAATTTGTCTTGGATAAAGCTATAAACATCCTCACTGCCACTAGAAAACTGTCACTCATCACGGTAACATAATTTGTCTTGGATAAAGCTATAAACATCCTCACTGCCACTAGAAAACTGTCACTCATCACGGTAACATAATTTGTCTTGGATAAAGCTATAAACATCCTCACTGCCACTAGAAAACTGTCACTCATCACGGTAACATAATTTGTCTTGGATAAAGCTATAAACATCCTCACTGCCACTAGAAAAACTGTCACTCATCACGGTAACATAATTTGTCTTGGATAAAGCTATAAACATCCTCACTGCCACTAGAAAACTGTCACTCATCACGGTAACATAATTTGTCTTGGATAAAGCTATAAACATCCTCACTGCCACTAGAAAACTGTCACTCATCACGGTAACATAATTTGTCTTGGATAAAGCTATAAACATCCTCACTGCCACTAGAAAACTGTCACTCATCACGGTAACATAATTTGTCTTGGATAAAGCTATAAACATCCTCACTGCCACTAGAAAACTGTCACTCATCACGGTAACATAATTTGTCTTGGATGTCTTGGAAGCTATAAACATCCTCACTGCCACTAGAAAACTGTCACTCATCACGGTAACATAATTTGTCTTGGATAAAGCTATAAACATCCTCACTGCCACTAGAAAACTGTCACTCATCACGGTAACATAATTTGTCTTGGATAAAGCTATAAACATCCTCACTGCCACTAGAAAACTGTCACTCATCACGGTAACATAATTTGTCTTGGATAAAGCTATAAACATCCTCACTGCCACTAGAAAACTGTCACTCATCACGGTAACATAATTTGTCTTGGATAAAGCTATAAACATCCTCACTGCCACTAGAAAACTGTCACTCATCACGGTAACATAATTTGTCTTGGATAAAGCTATAAACATCCTCACTGCCACTAGAAAACTGTCACTCATCACGGTAACATAATTTGTCTTGGATAAAGCTATAAACATCCTCACTGCCACTAGAAAACTGTCACTCATCACGGTAACATAATTTGTCTTGGATAAAGCTATAAACATCCTCACTGCCACTAGAAAACTGTCACTCATCACGGTAACATAATTTGTCTTGGATAAAGCTATAAACATCCTCACTGCCACTAGAAAACTGTCACTCATCACGGTAACATAATTTGTCTTGGATAAAGCTATAAACATCCTCACTGCCACTAGAAAACTGTCACTCATCACGGTAACATAATTTGTCTTGGATAAACATCCTCAAAGCTATAATTTGTCTTGGAAACATCCTCACTGCCACTAGAAAACTGTCACTCATCACGGTAACATAATTTGTCTTGGATAAAGCTATAAACATCCTCACTGCCACTAGAAAACTGTCACTCATCACGGTAACATAATTTGTCTTGGATAAAGCTATAAACATCCTCACTGCCACTAGAAAACTGTCACTCATCACGGTAACATAATTTGTCTTGGATAAAGCTATAAACATCCTCACTGCCACTAGAAAACTGTCACTCATCACGGTAACATAATTTGTCTTGGATAAAGCTATAAACATCCTCACTCACTAGAAAACTCACTGCCACTAGAAAACTGTCATCCTCACTCATCACGGTAACATAATTTGTCTTGGATAAAGCTATAAACATCCTCACTGCCACTAGAAAACTGTCACTCATCACGGTAACATAATTTGTCTTGGATAAAGCTATAAACATCCTCACTGCCACTAGAAAACTGTCACTCATCACGGTAACATAATTTGTCTTGGATAAAGCTATAAACATCCTCACTGCCACTAGAAAACTGTCACTCATCACGGTAACATAATTTGTCTTGGATAAAGCTATAAACATCCTCACTGCCACTAGAAAACTGTCACTCATCACGGTAACATAATTTGTCTTGGATAAAGCTATAAACATCCTCACTGCCACTAGAAAACTGTCACTCATCACGGTAACATAATTTGTCTTGGATAAAGCTATAAACATCCTCACTGCCACTAGAAAACTGTCACTCATCACGGTAACATAATTTGTCTTGGATAAAGCTATAAACATCCTCACTGCCACTAGAAAACTGTCACTCATCACGGTAACATAATTTGTCTTGGATAAAGCTATAAACATCCTCACTGCCACTAGAAAACTGTCACTCATCACGGTAACATAATTTGTCTTGGATAAAGCTATAAACATCCTCACTGCCACTAGAAAACTGTCACTCATCACGGTAACATAATTGTCTTGGATGAAGCTATAAACATCCTCACTGCCACTAGAAAACTGTCACTCATCACGGTAACATAATTTGTCTTGGATAAAGCTATAAACATCCTCACTGCCACTAGAAAACTGTCACTCATCACGGTAACATAATTTGTCTTGGATAAAGCTATAAACATCCTCACTGCCACTAGAAAACTGTCACTCACGGTAACAAATTTGTCTTGGATAAAGCTATAAACATCCTCACTGCCACTAGAAAACTGTCACTCATCACGGTAACATAATTTGTCTTGGATAAAGCTATAAACATCCTCACTGCCACTAGAAAACTGTCACTCATCACGGTAACATAATTTGTCTTGGATAAAGCTATAAACATCCTCACTGCCACTAGAAAACTGTCACTCATCACGGTAACATAATTTGTCTTGGATAAAGCTATAAACATCCTCACTGCCACTAGAAAACTGTCACTCATCACGGTAACATAATTTGTCTTGGATAAAGCTATAAACATCCTCACTGCCACTAGAAAACTGTCACTCATCACGGTAACATAATTTGTCTTGGATAAAGCTATAAACATCCTCACTGCCACTAGAAAACTGTCACTCATCACGGTAACATAATTTGTCTTGGATGAAGCTATAAACATCCTCACTGCCACTAGAAAACTGTCACTCATCACGGTAACATAATTTGTCTTGGATAAAGCTATAAACATCCTCACTGCCACTAGAAAACTGTCACTCATCACGGTAACATAATTTGTCTTGGATAAAGCTATAAACATCCTCACTGCCACTAGAAAACTGTCACTCATCACGGTAACATAATTTGTCTTGGATAAAGCTATAAACATCCTCACTGCCACTAGAAAACTGTCACTCATCACGGTAACATAATTTGTCTTGGATAAAGCTATAAACATCCTCACTGCCACTAGAAAACTGTCACTCATCACGGTAACATAATTTGTCTTGGATAAAGCTATAAACATCCTCACTGCCACTAGAAAACTGTCACTCATCACGGTAACATAATTTGTCTTGGATGAAGCTATAAACATCCTCACTGCCACTAGAAAACTGTCACTCATCACGGTAACATAATTTGTCTTGGATAAAGCTATAAACATCCTCACTGCCACTAGAAAACTGTCACTCATCACGGTAACATAATTTGTCTTGGATAAAGCTATAAACATCCTCACTGCCACTAGAAAACTGTCACTCATCACGGTAACATAATTTGTCTTGGATAAAGCTATAAACATCCTCACTGCCACTAGAAATCTGTCACTCATCACGGTAACATAATTTGTCTTGGATAAAGCTATAAACATCCTCACTGCCACTAGAAAACTGTCACTCATCACGGTAACATAATTTGTCTTGGATAAAGCTATAAACAAGCTAGAAAACATCCTCACTGCCACTAGCCACTAAATCTGTCACTCATCACGGTAACATAATTTGTCTTGGATGAAGCTATAAACATCCTCACTGCCACTAGAAAACTGTCACTCATCACGGTAACATAATTTGTCTTGGATAAAGCTATAAACATCCTCACTGCCACTAGAAAACTGTCACTCATCACGGTAACATAATTTGTCTTGGATAAAGCTATAAACATCCTCACTGCCACTAGAAAACTGTCACTCATCACGGTAACATAATTTGTCTTGGATAAAGCTATAAACATCCTCACTGCCACTAGAAAACTGTCACTCATTACGGTAACATAATTTGTCTTGGATGAAGCTATAAACATCCTCACTGCCACTAGAAAACTGTCACTCATCACGGTAACATAATTTGTCTTGGATAAAGCTATAAACATCCTCACTGCCACTAGAAAACTGTCACTCATCACGGTAACATAATTTGTCTTGGATAAAGCTATAAATATCCTCACGACATACGTCCCATTAACGTAGTTTACCTTGAATAAAGGTATAAACATCTTTTGTCACTAGAAAACTGTCACATATCACGGTGTCATAGCTCACCTTGGATAACGGTACAAACATCTTCGTTATCCCTAGACAACGGTCACACATTAGGGTAACATGTAAACATCATGGTAGCAAAGTTTGCCTTGGATAAAGATATACACATCAAGATTGTCATCAGAAGGATGTGACACGTCGGGGTAACTTAGTTTGAATGAGAGTTATAAAAGTTACTGTCATTATAATATTGTCACAAACTTTGTAATAAAGCTTACCTTTGACAAAGGTATAAACATCAGCATCGTTAGTAGAAACGTGAAACATGTTGACGTGGCCAAGCTGATGAACAACCTCCTAAGTAGGCTAAATTTGCCAGTGGATTCTTTCTTGGCTTCCTGGATCTTATAACCCACGTGGCTTTCGGTCAGTTTCTTCTTTTGCTTTTTGAGGAAGGTGGGGCTGTCCACGGAGCTCTGGAATACTCCCTCATGAGATGAGCCATCGTTTTGCTCATTCGTGTCTATTGGGTTCTTGGTTTCTGTTTGGTCCTTATTTGGTACGGACGCTACAATAACGACATGGAGGCTTTCCTCTTGCATGGTTCAGCAGATAGCGCTTACAGAATGGGTCCGTACACGTTGCTGCTTTAGTATCGAACCATGAAAGATGTCACGACAGGTCGATGCGTTTGTGCAGTTGGTGCTCCCTGGGTGTTTGTTATCACCGCTGTTGGGTTTGTCAAGCTTTGAGAGATTCATACCTTGTAAACTTGATGCATGGTTGATTTACATACTTTATATATGATATGATATACCACACTTAGTAGTTGTGTTGTCTGGAAATATATACGCATTGAAATTCTTGTCGTTAAACATTTACGCTTTGTTACTGTTGCATGCAATTATATAAACTTTATAATTCACGTTGCTACTAGGCCACACGTTTTTGCTATGCTGCTTGAAACTATAGCTTCATAATTCGAGTTGCTATATAGCCAATCATCGTTGCTATCTCGCGTGGAATTAAATACACTTTATAATCTGCGCTTGTACAAAGACACGCCGTATTGCTATTTTGCCTGGAACTATCTCTTCGTAGTTTGTGTCTCTGTATAGTCACACACACGTTGCTGCTATTTTGCTTGGAATTATATACAGTTTATAATTCAAGTTGCTGTCTAGCAAGACGTTGCGGCAATTTATCCAAAAAGTATATACGCCTTATAATTCGCGTCCTTATAATGCCATTCTTTGTTAATGTGTTTCTTAGAATTTTTGTTTTATAATTCGAGTTGTTGTGTAATCAAACATTATAGCTGTGTTGCCTGGAAACATACAAACTTTCTCATTCGCGTCATTATGAAACCACACTGCATACGCACTCAGAGATATTCACACTTTATATGTCTCAAGTCACGAGCTAGTCGTATTTTATAGGTGTTGTGAAGTTATTTTCCGATATAATCCCTAAGTTCTGAGAATGCACTATTTTTTTCCTCCCTAATATATTTATACTTTATAAATCTTGTACTCTGAAAAAGCTACCATTTAAAGTCAACAAAACATAACATGTTATGCTCTTGATGCTCCAAAAAGTAATACTTTTACTTTTGAAACTCGCAAATAATTTATCTTTGTAGTTATCAAAAGGAAATGTACACACATATGTGATATCCACAGATAGTCACTCTACAGTTCATACAACTACACATATTCAGAATCCAAAGTTTTGAATCTAGATGGAGCCACACTTTTTAGCTGAAAATCTGTTTTTTTGGTTTAATATATAGCCACCTTGAGATATGCATAGTAGTTGGGCTTATATCTGAATATAAACACCATACTTTTGATATCTCAACCTAATCATACTTTATAACTCTAATGCATGTATATACACGTAGTGTTCAGTTCTAATAGATCTTTATCTAAACTTTATAGTTCAGCTTTCTGTTTATGATTCTGATAGAATATCGACACTCCAGTTCCTAAGTAAGATATAGCCATACTTTATAGACTTGGTTTCTGTTTATAATTATGATGGCTGATCGACACGTTCCAGTTGTTGAATTATATATAACCACACTTTATAGTCCTGGTTTCTGTTTATATTGACCTTTATACGTCTGACACCTGTATTGACACTCTGGTTCTTAAGTAAGATATAGCCACACTTTATAGTTCTGATTTCTGTTTATAGTGACCTTTATATGTCTGACAGCTGTATCGACACTCTAGTTCTTAAGTAAGATATAGCCACACTTTATAGTTCTGATTTCTGTTTATAGTGACCTTTATACGTCTGACAGCTGTATCGACACTCTAGTTCTTAAGTAAGATATAGATAACACTTTATAGACCTGGTTTCTGTTAATAATTATGATGGCTGATCGACACTTTCCAGTTGTTAAATAATATATATCCACACTTTATAGTCTTTGTATCTGTTTATGGTTACACTTTATACTTCTGATAGCTGTATCGACACTCTTCACTTGATAATACAAATATAAAAAAAGATTTAACCTCACTTAATAGTTCGGATAGCTATGTTCAACATGTATTGAGAATATTATGGCAGCACTTTCTAGTTCTCGTTTCTGTTTGAAGCCACTGTTTACAATCCTTATAGCTATACTGACGCTCACCCGTTGTTAGATATGATATATCTACAATGTATTGTTCTGATAAACAACACTATAGTTCTGACGGCTCTGTCAGCAATCACTATTTAATAAAGCCACATTTATCAGGTTCAGAAGCCTTATGTTATAACCGCAAATTGTATAACCATAGATTATGGCTCTTATAGCTGTATCGACGCTAGTTGTCATGACGTAACCACGCCATAAATTTCCTGTTTATGTCTATAACCCCAAAGTTTATAGTTCCAGTGCCTGTATACTCTTCGATATTTCTTAGTTACGAAATAGCCATCAATTTCTTTTTATTTATATCGACACTTTATAGTTCTGGTGACTGTAAAATATCGGACATTTCCGTTCCGATCTTTGTATACACGAACACCACAGTCCTGATGTTTACTGTTAGTGCTAGTTCCACTGTCCGAAGCAAGCCATATGCGTTTACTTCCAATGGCAGCCGTTAGTCATCCATTATAGTTCTTAATCTGAAAATAATATAAATAATGATTATTGAAATTGTTGCAGAAAAATGTGAAACTGGAGCTGTGGTTGCAGAACAATGTGAAATTATAGCCACGATACAGTAGAAAGCTAGCCGCCTGCCTGCCTCGCCGATAGTCTTAGATTCGAGTCTTTATCGCGATAGATTATTTTTTGTTTCCCTCAAAAATTAACCTCTGTTCTGAGGTCAGCCTGGTCCTAAATGGGTAAGTAGGTAATGTGCTGGGAAGTAAATTCTATCGTGTGGTATCGACCCCCATAAACTACCGAGTGACCATTTTTAATTTTTTTTTTTAAACAAGTCAGCGACTTTTCCTGCGCCTTTAGGCCTGTTGGATATATAGGGGTAGACCTATGTTTGATAGACCAATGACACAATGGGATGAGAGTAGCATATGATCTACAATGGGCATGTGTGTTAAAGGAAAATCAAACAGTAACATAATTACAAAGACAGAAACATCATAGACTTTGATATATCTTTTTTTTTTTTTAATTTGTAAAAAAAAAAAAAAATACATACCAGGAAAATATGACTACATTCTTTTCCTTCTTCGCGTTCATCGGCTGTAAACTACTACAGAAAGTTCTGGTTGTTGCTCCACTTCTTGACTTTCGTCTTCTTCCAGAACCGAGTTTTGGGTGCACATGCGTTCAACCAGTCTGCCTTATTTGTGTGCAGATTGTTGGTCCTTGCCTTTTAGACAGATGCACTCCGACTTTGAAGAAAACATCCCTAACTATTCAACTTTTTTGACATGATTGTTAGAGTGTGTGTGTGTGTGTTTGTGTGTGTGTGTGTGTGTGTGTGTGTGTGTGTGTATTTGTCTGCGTGTGTGTTTGCGTGCGTGTGTGTGTGCTTGTGTGTGTGTGTGTTTGCCTGCGTGTCTCTGTGTGTGTTTGTGTGTGTGTGTGGTTGCCTGCGTGTGTGTTTGTGTGTGTGTGTTTACGTGCGTGTGTGTGTTTGTGTGTGTGTATGTTTGCCTGCGTGTGTGTTTGCGTACGTGTGTGTGTGCGTGCCTGTGCCGTCACTGCTGTCTGACTTTTCGCGTGGGGCAGCGTTAAGAATTGTGTACGGTTTTCGCTGGCACAGAAGCAGAACAACTAGAGGATACCCTTTTAGATTCTTCTTCTTCTTCTTTTGTTCGCTTAAAAAAAAATTATCTATATCTGCAATGTTGTCTCTAGTATAAACTTCACTGTCTTTTGTAATTCACTCAGCGACCCGTAAAGTTTGACTTGCACCAATGTTTCTCTTGGCCAAACGTTTTGCCTTGATATGTTGTATTTGGGACAGTCTTGGAGGACGTGATTTGTTGTCTCAGGTGCCAGTCCACATGTGCACATGGCTAATTCACCGATTTTAAATTGTATGTACATGTGGCTGCAAAGTCGATTGTGTCCTGTTCCAAGGCGTAGAATAATAACTTGCTCTGGTCTATCCATAAAATGGTAATCGTCTTGTGTCAGTTTTGGTGGCTTTCTGATTGATTTGATCATTTTCTTCTTTTGTTGATAAGACACTGGTACGTCAGGCTGTTCTTTATTTGCACCTTCCTTAGCTAGTTTATCAGCTCTTTCATTTCCAGGAACTCAACAGTGGGATGTTATCCATTGCACCGACCCATTACGTTGAAGTTGGAACATCGACTGATAGTCTAGCCTTGAAGGAGACATCGGTTTTCGCACGCACGCACACACACACACACACACACAACCAGGGAGAGAGAGAGAGAGAGAGAGAGAGAGAGGGGGGGGGTATGAAGTTTAAAGCTGCACAACCTACATGAGCTACTGCTGGTACATGGGTGGACAGGATTGAGTTTCTGCCATTGTTCCAGCTCTAAGTGTTGTTATCACGCACACAAAGGCATCCGTTCACTGCGTGTGCAGTTCTGTGACTGAACGGTGCTGAAGCAGCAGTTACGGGTTGGTTTACCTTCGCTGTACTCCGGTAGGTCCAAAGGTGCTCAGAATCCCCTTTTACCATTCACCTCAGCTTTTTGCCGTGAATATGCCATTCCTAAGCTAGCCGGCAAGACTTCTTCTATGTCCGGTGTGCCTCTCGTGTCTGGATGTGCCGACCTTCACCTGCTATCTCCGTCCCAGTGTGGGATGCAACTATTAGTTATTTCAAATCCCTACGCTGGCTGTAGTCTGGGGTTGTAAAATAACCTAGCAGTTGAACAGGGTTTCTAGGACTGCTGTCCGCATAAATAGATTATCAATGTCTAAAGAGAATGATCCAGCAAGGAGTGACCAGGTGCCTGGCACACATTCAAGTAAAGGCAAGACGGACATACAGTAAAAATGTTACTGCTACCAACGGACTTGAAACTATGCGCTGGCTGCTGAAGGTGGAGACTGAGCGCTTATGTGAATGTCCCGAGTGCTGTGATGTCAGTTGTTGTTTCTACTCTGGTAGATGATTTAGTTGTTTACAAAATTTACCTTGGC